TGGACAGCCCCATACAACGTCATTGTGTCAGAGAGCTGGTATATGTACTAAGTTAATCATTATTTACAATGTAAACATACTTGAGATTTAAAGGATGTAGATTTTAGAAAGGGCTTATAAGTAGCAACACTTACAACAATACGTATGTAGCCTACATGGACCTTCAGTTATAACATATCTTTTCAAAGAACGTTGTGTGGAGACGAAATACATTCCAAAAAATAAACATGTTGATCCGATCCTTAATCAGATCTACCTGGGATAAATAATTATTATATCATACAATGTATCTTGTTTTGAATATGTCAAATACAATGTACAAATAATAATGGCGTGCTGTACTCTACATTTTTATCTATATTTTTCCAGCTGAACATACATGTGTAAACAAGTATACTGACACAACATACCCGGATGCTTTTAGTCTGTAACGTTAGTATGTGTAATGTCTAAAAAGAACATTAATTCATTTAATACCCTCTTCAGTATGTGTATAATACAACCTCCGCAAAGCTATCTTTATCAGCTTTCAGAAACATACGTCAAAACATAGATGAATTAGTTTTTTATCCTATCAGAAAATGAATTCGTGATCTATAAATAGATAAGTAAATATCTACACAATGACACAAAAGTTTTTTGATAGTCACCTTGCCTAGGCACACATACCGCGGTTATCTGTAATTAAAAATAAAATGAGAAACTCGGAGTGACACGTATGTTGTACTCTGAACCCTGATAGTTTTCCCTCTCTGCTCCAATGACCACCCATACTCATCCCTAACGAGGGGTAGGATCAGCCAGGTAAGGATTTCTAAATCCCTTTCCCGTTGTTTGTTATTTCCTTTTGTGACTTAAATTACTTTGTCCTTGACAACACCTACAATTACTTTACCCTCTTACATTACTCCTAACATCAAATTCCGTCCCTTATTGCGTGACGACACATTCACTCGATGTCACCATACCAGGGGGCTTGACTGTTCATGTGTACAATGTGACAATGACTTTTCTATTTGTAAATAAAATACAATCAAAACACTGTTTATTCTATAAGATATCACTCAGGATAGTAGTTGGACGATCACAATTACACGTTATTTACCAATACTCACGTGGTGTAGAATATCTAAAGCCAATGTACAAAATAAACAAAAAATCAATACAAATATACCAGTTTTTAAACGCCATAGAGTAATGCTTAAATGTATTCAGCATATCTAATGTTCAATATCATAAAATGTTGTGTTATACTGTTCGATGGTTGTATATCAATTTTGAACATTACATGTATTTTAAACGTGAGTTGGTAAATTCCCTATAACGTAAGCATCTATTTATCAAGAGTATGTATATTTGCTTCAATAAGAGCTCATAGCCCTGGGACAAGTCGTAACGACATTGTGACAGGCTACCCTAAATACTATGCTATAGTCAGTCTTCGCACGCTTCTATGATCATCGGGAAATTGACCGAAGAGAATGGACATGTATTATCGGACGATGAAATTATTATCTCAGTCTACGTCAGCTGTTAAACCTCATCGGACATTCAATCAGTGATCATATAAATATATCAACAACTGAACATAAACTAAAATAAAAGATTGTGATTTCTGTGATAAACATACTTGCCAGAAGCAACAAGAGTTTGATTTGATTTGGCCACTATTTTAAACATAATAAACAGAACATTTCTTTATATGATATAGATAGTAACGGTGTTCTTTTCTGGACTATTTGTGTGACGTCAGCTCAGAATGAAAACTTCGATACATACTGACATTCCACACATCTGCATGTCTATATGTTTTACAAATATTCCAAATATTACAATAATTCCTACAAAAAATCGTTAAAGAGGGCAAAAATATGAAGAAAAGAAACATATGCCAAATATCGGCTTTTCCTGAATTTATTTATGTTTGTATGTATCTTTTCATTTATCAATATGTACTTAAGAACATGATTGTTATACACTCGTAGGCTTGTGACGCCTTAGTTTGAAGTGCTTTTTCGACCAAAAACGGATTTCTCTGCTGTAGAGACAGTTTAGAGTCCAGATGATTTTTCTTTCAGTGCTGTCCTGGTATTTTTATGACAATAAGGACTGCTAACATCATTTCAGTATATTATGACCAAATGAATTGTCATGACATCAAGACATGTCAAAATCATGACATTTCATTGGAACGCTTTGATGTTTTCTTTCAGTACTTATACAGCCCTGCACTATCGTTCTGAAAACAAACCTCAAGTAGTCAGACTTAACCCTTAGACAAGAAATTTGTGATAATGATTCACACTTTAATTAAACATTATCTCAATCAAATATAATGAACTCCGGGACTATTTGACCATTTTATTTTTAACAAAGATACACTTAAGCAGATAGCAGTTATTATCTCATAAATAGAAAAATATTGTGAATGATTTACCATTGATTGTTGGAATAAGAATTGCCGATGTGGCAGAATGTCGTTTCCCTTAGTCCGGATTATAAGGATTATCCAACAAACCTACACCAACAGTTTTATGAATGAGGTATATAAATACCTACACATGATATGTATAATAATGATTCTCTAAAGCTTAATCTAAGTAAACAATATTTACCCAAATCTGCCAGACTTTTTTCACCCCAGCTTGCTAAATGGTGAGTTTATGAATACTCGTCGACTTGTATATATGTGTTTACGAGATAAATAACAATATACTTTTCATTAAGTGAATTTATGCTAGCGCTTTGCATAAGTACTGTTGTATATGTAACAATCCTCCAACACCACCCCCTTGTAACAGTTTTAATTTGCAAATCCGTCTTTTAATAATATGATAATATTGACACCATTGGAGTTAGGTAACGCATCCTTAAACAATTACAAGCGTTATGCATATCAAGGTATGATCGTAGTAATATCACATTATTGATCCTGCTAACTATTGATCTTGTTTGAATTCTGTTTTATCAGGCATTTATGTTGCGCTCATTACGTCAATGAAAGGGATAGTAGTTTTCGGATCTCAAGGACAAGAACAAACTGCAGTTAGAATGTCTACCTAAGCAATTTTTTTACAAACTCCGTTTACCTGATAGTGCACCATGTTTTGAAAGAAAACATATCGAGATAAAAAAAAAAAATCAGAAATTTGCAAGTGTTGTGCTACTGTCACCATCTTTATACAAAATTTCAATGTTTTATTTAGAAATATCATATTTCGATAAAAGCGTCTTGATTATCGCTATACAATGTAAACCTGTTAAGTGTATGAACGCAAAACAGGTTTTACAAAGATGTGTCTGTATTTTTACTTGATATACTGCTCCAATTACAATTGTCACGTGTTTGTATAAAAAAACTAGTTTGTTATTAAGTTAAACGTAGAAAATATACAACATATATATACGAATATCACAAACGTTACAAGGCGTTGTAGTTTAGAAATAAATATGTATTGGTTTGTCAAGGCCATGCTGATTTAACATATACGATTGCAACAATATGAACAGCTTGCATACATATGTTCTTCATTATTTCACAGTTTATTCAAATTTTACTATGAATAAACACATATTAACATATATACACAATGTATCAATATGGTAATTGCATAAAGTCATGTTTACAAACCCGGAATATTACAGTCATGTCCTTGACAGACACACCTACCACACACATACATGTTTACAGTATAATTTTGTTAACATGTTGATATTTTATTGGTTTTTTTATATTACTAAACATAGATATACAGCTGATAAAACTGAACCTCTGCAGTATTCAATGGACATCTGTAGAAAAGTCAGTCTCTGTGTCTGCTGAAGGACCGAGTTAGCAAAAGTTTGTCTACACTTCATTGAAACAGATTCACATCATAAGGATATTACTGTTTACATTCAGCATTTACAATACATATTTCCATTTCCGTACCATTTGCATTACTTCAAACTTTCATACAAAAGCACATCGGTCAAAATAGCAGCATATGTGTACGGTTGGAAAAATATTTGAAATAATTGAACATGGCATTTATATCCATCATAAACGACATTATGATATTTATCTGAAAAGTTGTCATATAGACTAGAGATTCCATATCAAAATTAACATCTATTACTGTACTGTCTACATGTTGATCTGTAGTACTGCACTTGTTCTGCATGGATATAATGTATCTAATTCTAAATATGTATTGAAAGGTGTTATTCATGTGTCTAACTAGTGGCCTTCAGTCGAAAATAATTTACGTAACCCATATGTCACGATTGAATTCATTCAAATATAGATATGATTCAGAATCAGTATTAAGAAGAAGTTTTAAGATTCACGGCCTTAGCATCGCTGACGCGGCCTTGAAGGACGAAACATTTGTATGGTGCATTTTACTTATAATTTGATTCCACTCTATCTAAATCTAAATTTGTACTAAATTCTATTTGTTGTGTGTCTTATGTACAATCATTGACATCATTCTTATCATTAACAAAAATAACATCTTAAGATATTGACGCAATTTTCTAAATTTGTACTGAAATGTACTAGTTGTTTGTCTTTAATATAATCATTGACATTATCCTTATCCTTAACAAAACACTTTTAAAGATATTGACGTAATTTTCTTGATTGATTTGTCTTACCACCTTTTACCTTATTTATCTTAATCGTCTTCAAGAAAGCGATGTCAGTCGTCGAAATTTGAGCAACAATATAAACACAATCATTTTCCCCAAAAGAAATGCAATAATTTATATATATTTATTTCTATATTTCCACTTAAACGATATTTCAATCACGAAGCGTTATGAAGGATTATGAAGATGTATGCAAACATGCGTATTTCAGAGTTTAAAAAATGAAATGTTGGGTATGTTACATCATATTATATTATTTTATAGTAAATGATTTGTCAAAAATTACTCCAAGACAATCATCCTCTTTCACCGCCATGCTACATGCAACATAACCATTGCCTATATGTTATATTATTCTTGTTTACCAGTCAGGAACAAGTCTGTGAATTGTACCAACACCTTCATGCAAGCGACAACCCGGAACTCCTCGAAAACTTTGAGTCTATTATCCTCGGAGTCATTAAAGATGTTCGAGGATACAAGGTTGAGAACGAACGTCTGGAGAAGAGCTTCCGAAGGTACATCCTTTTAACCTTTTCGTGTTTTATTTTCAATGTTAAACGAAGTTTCAGCATATGTATTTCAACATCTTTATCAAAACCAAACTTTTTTCCATTACAAACATAATTCAGAATGCTGTATAAAGCATTTTCACTCATTTAAGGTTCAAATCAATACTTCTGTATGATATGCAATTGTCAATTCGTTGATATTAATCGTTAATGTTTACATAATTATTTCGCACCTCCTTTGTGAAACTATCCAACTCTAATAGCTTCATTTCCAGATGTTTTCGGCAAAAAGATACAATTTATAGCAATGGTGCACCGTTTTATAAAAATAGATATTTTATATGCCAATGAAAAATACCAATATATTACAAATAGCTAAAAAACACATAATCAAATTCAACATTAATTTCCCCAAAAGTATCATAACGTCAACAAATATCCTATTGTCACATGGCTTTGGGTACCTGATTTCATGTGAAATAGAATTTGCCCTGTCGGTCAGTATTCGTTATTATCGTATCAGATAATGTTCCTGGGTGATATCATTGTATCTCATTACTGCAACATATATTGTTATACGATAGCGTTAGTCATTTGCGAGATATCATCGAGTGCTGAACCTATGCTGCACGGCTCTATCGTGATGTGTGTTTGAACCCAAAAGATTCCTTGCCAGAATTTTCCTCATTTTGTTTTTTCTCATGCTTTCGTACGATTCCACCAATATGTTTGCAATTACAAAACGTTACACCTGACAACTCCACCTGACTCGCTTGCTCCATGACCAAATCACAATCTCGTCACTTGGTACTCCGGCCCGATACATTTCGTAGGAAGGTACAATGTTAAACGAAGTTTCAGCATATGTATTTCAACATCTTTATCAAAACCAAACTTTTTTCCATTACAAACATAATTCAGAATGCTGTATAAAGCATTTTCACTCATTTAAGGTTCAAATCAATACTTCTGTATGATATGCAATTGTCAATTCGTTGATATTAATCGTTAATGTTTACATAATTATTTCGCACTTGGTACTCCGGCCCGATACATTTCGTAGGAAGGTACACTTTCGATAGCTGTATAATATTAGTCATTAATAATGTCCTATTCAATAAAAACGAAAGAGAAATTCGAAATGCCCTGATTTTAGCATATTTACATAATAATAATAATAAAATCGTTTTGGAACATTTTTTGTCATCCGATGACGACTGAAGGTAGCTAGCAGCTGTTCCGTATGTGTGCACACAGACACGATAACAGCGAAATGGGTTAACTGAAAGTACATTTGAGTGGCGGGATTTTTAAAAGGGTTAATGTAAATAGTACCTGATGCTTTGTTTCGAATGCTGTGTTTTTAAAGTTATTTGCATTCATTTATTTGGAAACGAGTATGAATATAACGTAATGTGTTTTAAAACATATTGAAGCATTACAAATTATGATTACTTTTGTATATATAGAAATGATAGCTTGTAAGTATAAAACTTCCCAACTCGCTGTTAAAATTGATTGATATGACATTTGTTGTTTTTGTGATTACAAAATCATCCTGACATTTACATGTATCTACTGTCCGGTCCTTTGTTTCAGAAATACGATTTAAATAGGCCATTTCCCGTCACAGTACTGGAATAATATGAAAAATGAATGATCTAGTCTTTCAACACACTGTGCTGGAAGCGCGCCAGGCAGGAAATTACTAGGTAGAGAGTGTATTTCTTGTTGTTCGTTAAGGTTTGATATATTTAATTATGTCCACTCTAGGGAGAAGGACCAACACGAGAAACATCTCAGACATTTGGAAGAGGAAATGGAAAAAGAAATGAAGAAAATGGAAGAGAAAATAAGACAAAAGGTATGTTGAAGGTTTAGTGTGTACAGAAATCGTTGCATTCATCATTATCCGGATACTAGTATGTTTTGCTGATTGAAGATGTTTTAACCAAAAATCTTAACTATTCAAATATTTGTTGCAAGTTATATATTATCATTTACATGTCATTTCGTTTTTATTTATTTTCTTTTTTTATTTTAAAACGTTTAAAATGTATCATTATGAAAAGTATTTCATGGATATTGTTGTTTGTATGCAATAGATATTTTTATATATCACATCAGTCATACCATGCAGAATCCTTTTACATTCCTTTCCGCGTGAATGAACCATCATTGATCTGATATTCACAATTCCACCATATAATCCTTTGTTATTCTACTCACGTCTTTTATATGAATATTATCAGCTGTTTCCACTCTAATAAAGCCCCGCCCCGGTCTTGTGCGTGGTATTGAGAAAAGAATTTTGATTGCAAAAACTGAGTGCATTTCAATATGTATTCCAGAAAATTCAGCATCTTTCTTATTTTATCAATTCTTGTCCTTCACGTTATACTTGTCTGCATCAGGACCTGTACTTGCAGTTATTATAAGTTTAGTGTTTATTAAGCTGCAAATGTGGGCAGATAAGCATACAACATATGGTGATAGTCGTTATGAGTCATGTTCGACTATAAACGACCGAGTACAATAACTCCAACTCATTTATATTCTTAATGTTTAATATCGGGCTAAATATATAGTTATTTTTATGTGTTTGCGCACAAAATGTCGCGACAGTTTAATACTTTACACATTTCAATATCAAGCACTTTGCCTGGATGAAAACAGCCTTGTTTGTTGTGCTGAAATGTACAACATATTTGCTCCTCCATTTAAGATGAGAACACTGCGATATTCTTTAACATGAGACAAAGAGTTTTATTACAGTGTTTTGTAGCGTGCCATTTTGTTACAACAACCAAATTTGTCATAATAACATTTGTAAAAAATGAGACGTATTTGATTGGATATACCAATATGTCAATATGTTACAAATGCAAATGTTATTGTAACAAATTGAGTTGTTGTAAAACATTGTCATGCTAGTGTTTTCCATAAAAACAGATAAAAAATTTAAAAAAAAAAAAAAAACTTTTTTAACATATTGAAATTATCTTTACCCCTTTTAATGGTTATACCATATAATCAAACATCCGTTTATCATTATTGGTTTTAGAAATTCCAATACAAGTAAGTGTCTTTCCAATAATTAAATTGAATGATTCAGTTAAGAATAGATCCATGTACTTGATGTACCCTACAATTATTAGATAAATGAACATTACGTAATTTACTGAAATATGAGGCTGTTTACCTCCCAGTCTAGATTTTGACATTTCTTTCGATAACAATGGACTTCTCTCAGTCTCATTCTAGGTTCATAATTTAGGCCCTATGCATCACTGACGAGATTTAGAAGTGTGAACAACTGTATTATGTAGTTTTGTTGCTGTGCTATATGTATGTCTTTCGAATAATCTTTCAAATGAGAAATTACTTTTAACTATCCACCTGTGACGATAGCAATAATCAAATTTATTCTTATACAATAATTAATGTTTGACATTATCTATTTTTTGAGTCATCATTTCACCCAAACTTAAACATAAACAAATTAATTTTCTAAACGTTTCTGTCCTGGGTAATTTGTATTCCGTCATCATTTCCGGAACGTTGACATATTTTACGATTTAAACATGCCCTGTGGTTCTATACTGGTGATGTAATTATGAAAGAATGATTTGGGTACACACTAAAGAATCATTCTGGTCTCAATAATTATTACTTATAAACCATATTCTTCTTCCATGAATATTAAGATTCCAATTTCCTGATAAAAGAATTAAATTCTATTTCAACCACGATAGGAAGAAATCATTATAGAAAGATTTTCTAGCTTACATATATTGAGTTTAACGTTTATGCATTGTATGACATTCTTCTATCTTTCAGGAGCAAGAAAAAGTGATGGCAGAGAGGGCTGAATTGAAAAAGGAAGTAGAGGAGGAGTTAATTACATTACGGCAAAACCTCACCATTATGCAGGAGGTAACTATATTATATCGTATTGTACCGGAACAGATTGTCAGCTCTGTTGCTGAAATACTATGAGTAATGTTTTCATCATGATACAAAGCTTAAAACACAATTATATTAAAAGGGAGATAATCCTATCATATTTTTTTTATTCTATTGCAAGATTTATAATTGTATAACTGAAGATTTTTAATTTCTTTAGGATAACTGTGGAATACAAATAACCAATAAAATGATATATGATTTAAAATACCATGGCAATCTCCTCAAAAATACATCTAACAAAAGAAATTTAGATGAAATGTGGTCAACGAATTGTCTTAATGCCTTGGTTTGATTTAAAGAGAGGCTTGGTATTAACAGTTTTATTTTGTTTTATTTCGTAGGAAGGCAACGGTCAGAAAAACAAGGAACTAGAGGAACATCTCTTGGATATGAAGAAACGCCTGGAAGAGATAACTATTGCCAATCGACAACTGAAGAGCGAGCTGACGGACACTCGTACAAACATGGCGCTTGTCCGAAGTGAATTGGTGTCCGTACGAAACAATTACACTGACAAGTGTCGCGAGCTACATCGGTAGGTCACGCGATATCTTTTCACATCTCTACTTCTACGGCTAACATAGAGACAATTTTAACATAAAAAAGGACGAAAACTTACAATCTAGAAAACATTTAATCTGATATGTACGGTGAAGTTTGTTTCAGTAGTGTCTGAATGATTGGCGATAATTGTATATAGGCCTAATTGATATGACCACACAAAGTAACACTAATCATTTAGCGATCAGTGTCAAAGGAACAGAGTCTACATCTCCACACTGGTCCCTACTGTTATAATTACTAGATAATGTAATAAAACACTATTAACACATATAAAGATTATTTTCTACATCAGCAGAAAACCTACGTTGTCTTTCAATTTCACCAATTATCGCCGCTTTGATTACATCATACATATAATACCAGGCAGTGGGCACTAAACGCCAGTCTGTTAGTTTAAGGATATAAATACAGTGATAATTACAGTTTTCCTTTTATGTCTATGTTTTTGTAACAAAATTTGACTTTCTGTCATGATTAACTTTCCATTCACGAGGTGCTTTCTTATTCAATTCTTAGCGTTAAAACAAACATGATAAATGATAGGCATTTATTTCCTCTCCCTATTAGATACGAATGCACGTTAATTGTAAATACCATCGATTCTCGTTATAATACATTAGTGCTGACTCCCAAAACATACATATTTACAGATGAAATATGCCTTCTAGTAACGGAAATTACTGCTTAGTTTTCATAGTTATAGCCTACTGATTACTGTGTATCATTTTTTAAACGTTATCGTTGATAACTCTATTTGAGTCTCTCAACTATGGTTATTTAAACAGACTGTTAATGCGGCCATAAACATAATGGAATATCAATGTGTCAGTAGTGGTATCGAAGGGAAACAACTCTTGTTTATTAATCATGAAAAAACATAAAGTTGTGAAAGTTCCAATACACAATAAAAGTGAAAAATAGTGATTTTGAAAAACATCATCATAATGATATAATTCTGTTGAAGAGTATATATTAATTAGTAGCAACACAAACCCAAGACTTCTGAGGTTATTATCGTTAAACATATAACTATTGTCTTGTCTCTTATCCGCACATTCCACTTAAATATTTCCGTAAATGAGAATTACATGTAGTAACTGTGGATGTTTATAATTTGAATGTTTATCTTTTCGCAAATACCGTGTGTTTTAAAGAAAGAAAGGTATATTGATTAGTTCGTAACTGCGTCACTTAATATATCAATATATCACATAAGCAAATACACAGGAATTCTGAACACTATGTGTAGAATTTATTATGATGAAGCAAATATTTACATCAGGCAATCAAACAGTAGAAATAATCTTCTTGACATGTTTAATGAAAAGATTTTTAAAAATCCATCGGACGTCTTTGAAAGACGAATACATTTTCATGTGCCTGATATCTCCCTGCTTCCGAGGGATGTGATTGCTTTGACAATGTCGTCTTTTATTTATTCTTTTTTTCAGGACGACCATTCAGTAAATACCAAACAAATATACAAATGCTGTCAATTAAGAAACTAAATCAACTTATACTATGTGTGTTAAAGATATGACAATATAGCAATGTTTATATAGGTCACTGTTCCTATATTAGTTTAGGAATAATTGTTATTACTAGCATTCATCAAGTTATATTGAAATCGAGGAACTGTATAGTGTTTTTCTTTTATGTTTCCTCGCCATAAAAACCGTCCATTTATTGGCCCTAATCAATATTTCATAGAGAGAAGGAGACGGTGATGGACATCGTAAAGGAACAGGATAACCTTACCAGGCAGCTTCACCTCCTTCAGTAAGTATCACTTGTGGATTTATCCTAGAAACCAAATCTATTCCGTGGCAACTTATTCTATCTTTTTTTTTTTTATTAAAGTTAACGGTAATTAACTTTCACAAAGGAGATTTACTCTCACACAGCCGGTTAAAGCATTGTATATTATTTCTCTCATCGCTCGTGGTTATTACATGTCGCGAATTGGTTTTAATAACAAAGCCTATGTTTTAAAATGATATGTACAAAGAAATCAATATGTTTACTGTATCTGATTCACTGATCTTTTATTATACCATTGTTCCTATACCTAGTGCGTTATTACTTATCTAATATTCCAACAGAGAAATATAATCTAAATATTCACATATGTATATGTGTGTGTGTGTGTGTGTGTGTGTGTGTGTGTGTGTGTGTGTGTGTGTGTGTGTGTGTGTGTGTGTGTGTGTGTGTGTGTGTGTGTGTGTGTGTGTGTGTGTGTGTGTGTGTGTTTCCGGTTCTAACATAAAGACAAGTCTTTTACATATGAATGTCAGATCTAACACTGTTTATGTATCATTTATGTAAAATAGAGTACCCCTACGACATCTTTAAAACTTGTACATATAATATTTATTTTCAAGAGTTAACCCATCACTGGCCTATTACAAGAAAGCGAAAAGGGCACGAAATCAGAAAAGGTCATTCACACTTATATATGTTGTGTATTGTAGTATCTCGTAACATATAATACTATTGGCATGGCTCTTCCATCATGAATATTCATAAAACTGAAACCCTATTCGGACTTTGGAATGAGTTCGCCCATCACTGTACATGACAGATTTCTTTGTTATGTTGAAACTCTGGTATCTGGTTTTGATCGGATTTCATCTGCAATTTGGATGATTTTTCTTTATTTATCTTAAACTGATTTAGTGGTCATTGCAATATTAACTTCGTCAGAGACATGGAATTAGCCTACAGGAATTACGTCACCAGTAACCAGCACCACAAACAGTAACTAATTCTTCTCGTACCGTAGATACTCTGGCTGTGCGATAATATCATAATTTATATAAAGATGGACCTTTCATTGAGATGATAAAGAAGAATGAAAGAATGATCAAATTATCAAGGTTTCAAAGGACCCTCATAAAAATTTCGAAATGAAGATTCTGTGAAAAACGCACAAATGACTTTGAAAACTCTGTTAGCGTGAGTTATGTAACAGATTTGATTATGAAAAATGACAAATACGTTCAATAATTTTATCAAATGGCTTGGAAACAGTCTTGAAAATGCGAAAATTTTATTATTCATTTATTCTTTTTAATACAATCATCCTGAATGTGACCAATTGCATTGTATAATATACCTGAATTTAAGAGGCCAAAACTACCAGATCTGACTTTACTGGTATTGGTGATGTTTAACATAGTAAAAAGGGTGATTCTCTATATAAAGGTGCTGAAGGTTTAAAACAACAAGAAAATATCAACAGGTCACCGTAATCATAACTTTAAACTCAAAATTAATCAATCTAGGGCAAAATGTAAGAAAAGGAAAGATTTATAAGGATACTCCTGAACAAATACCAGGAGAATAAGAACAGGTGTTCCTGAAGAGTAAGCGTCTTCTGCTTCAGCGGCGAGACTGCCATGTAAACCTTGGTCAATCCAAGTAAGTAATGTCATGTTCTAAAATGAGGACAATGTATACAATCACAAAACTGACGTCCAACTTCATGTTACAGTTGTTAGTAACTACAGGCCATATCTTGTTGGCAAATCAAAAACAAAAACAGAAAATACGGATGTCTATCGATCAGAGTTGATGTTGTAACCTGAGACTGACACTCCCTCTAACATGTTGGTCTCTGGATCAAATAACTGTGCTTTATACTATCATGTAATATTCCACATCTCTACAATTCTTTATTGTTTTATGTTAGCATGTATGTATCAATATTGGGCATGTGCAAATCAGAATGTCGAAGGGCTTTGCATGTTATGCAACTTGTAGTTTTGATATGTGTTTAAAGATAAGTGAAAGGATATCTGTTCAGATGCTCATTTACAAGTGGCATTAAGGTTGTTGAGATTTTGTAAATAATCATATTAATCATCGCTACCGGGTATGAATACATAATTTACATTATATGATTTGTACAACTGACATTACAAAATCAATGAGATAAATGAATACCACCTGCCATTGACGAACAATATCAAATATGATATAAACATCAAGCTCATTTTATCCATTCTTGTGAAAATGCATACTACTTAAACGACAAAAACAAAACATGTTACATGGTTTGTTTCTCATATCACCAATTTTGTGATAGGTATTAGTATTGACTGAAGAAAAAGCGTTAGACACAATGATTCGAGAAATATTGATGAGAGAACTTTAATTTAACTATCATTGCCATCGTGATTACATTAGAAGGTATATATTCTTGTGTGATACAAGTTCAAAGTTCTTTGGTATATCTTTTGTTTTCATTCTTCGACTTCCTTTTATAAGATTGTCACATGATACCCACATGCTTACCCTTTCGTAAAATCTTGTTCTCTTTCGATGACCTTGTATGTTTATTTTGTGTTCTATATAGTTTTGCCCTAGTACTATTGATTTCGCGTTTAAATAACATTTTGAGAACAATATTCTCTCAGTTAAAATGTTAATGAAATAAGTGATCTGCCATAAAAATGATGTTTTAATGTTCTAGTGATGCTAACAAACAGCTACATGATACAAATGATGATTTACGGGAGGCCGTTGTTAACCGCAGTATACCGAAGTATAGCCCAACCCCAATGGTAAGTTACCTGGTCGAATTACTCGCTGATTCCTGTCAATATATATTTTTTCTAGATATTTTCTTAATTCACTATCAACCCTTAAGCGGCCTTGAGACTATGGATACCGTCATCTATATTTCAATAGAAAAAAAAATCATGATAGACATATTTTGAATAGCATAGAAGGTAATTGTGCGATAGATGATACTTGAGCGCTGTTACCGTTAAAATGTAATGTATTTATAAAACAAATTTCCCACTAGCATTATTGTTTAGAATGAGAATACTGCCCTATATGTTTACACAGTAGATATACGGAATCTTAATGCATTTCACAAGAGGAAATCGTTAAAAAATATAATAAAAAGCAGAAAATTATTTTGATAATATTGAGTTTTTTTCTCTTTAATGGGAAATCGATTGATGAGTCTGGAAGCAATGCCAATATCATTAATGCCGTTTATCGATGAGCCATACATTTAACACATTAAAACGATTTTGGCACCGTGATCAAACCTAATCAAATTAGCTTCGTAACAACAAGGTGTCGACTACAAACACGCTGTTGTATGGATATAGATTGTTCGATGTTCCATACTAAGGCGCTGTTCTGCTGTGTTGCATTATTAATGTTACGACATATCATTTTTGACTTGTACAGATACAGAACCATTCCCGATCGTCCTCTAACGCGTCCATGATAGAGAGAGAACGACGTGGTTCTCTCATGAGTGATTACATACATAGTGGTCCTCCATCGTAAGTACTCAATTTTGTCTTCACAAGCATTTTATATTTTGTATTATTTTGTTATTGTAAATTATTTTTAATGTCATACATCATACATATTATTCGCCTTGTGATCTATTCTAGTTCTTTGGTGTGACTTTCTGCCCTGCATGCAGTAGGCTTGTTATTGTTGTATATTGTAATCAGAACATATATTTGATATGTACAGTATAAAGCGATAAGCTAGCATATGCTTGTCATTATGTCCTGTAAATGTTCAAGAATTTAATTTACTAAAGAAATACTAAAGGGCAGTGGACACTCTGATAAACTTAATTGTATATATACATAATGCTTTTACACTGTAAATAACAAACAAAAGTCGGACCAATTTTGGTGATGTATGATACTTTGATACTTAACTTTGCAGTATTAACTCATTGCATCTCAGTCGAGAAACCTCAATAGCCGAAGATGAATTACTTGATGACATTTCTATCTCCGGATCATTACCCTCACCACGAATAATTCGAGCACGACTTCCCAGAGAGGAAACCTGTGAAGAGGATAACATCTGTGATGACATAGGTAAAGAAATAGTAATATGACGATTCAAGATATATTCATATTTTTAAAAGTAAAATGCGCAGTCAATGGTGACAGTGTCAGCGATCAGTGTTACACATAGACACACGTGTGCATTGTCGAGAGCGAAGTCACGAAATGCGTTGGTGCATTATTTTTGTGCCAATAAACACGTTAAATTTTCCCCCATGGAACATTAATAATGCAATTTTACGCTCCGCAAGAGGGTGGAAGTGATAATGATGTGGGAGAGATTCCGCACACTACATAAACAATTAAAAGGTACAGTAAAGCAGCCGTTAGTAGTGCTGCTGTCAGTATTGCTAACTGTCAGTATTGCTACCGTCACTGGACGAAATATGATGCGCAGATCATTAAGATACTGTTAATGTGTAGGTATGTATCATGATATAGTTACTCCTTACATTTGATTGCTTGAAACATAAAGCAAGGTTCCTATGGAATATTAGCTCATACTGCTACTTTATTTTCTCTTTCCTATCATTGTACTATTGTTTGTAATTCTACTGCTGTTTATAACTAACCGCCCCACCCCCCTTTTGTATGTTTTATATAAGTTCCTCTCGTTGTACTATTGTTTATATATGTTCACGTTTTCACTAACGATGCTGTTTTTGCTTTTTTTTTTTTTTTTGTCATCTTCACCTATCGTTGTACCCGTTGTTTGTGTATGAAATTGTTGTGTTGTTTATTTGTGCCATTTTTGTCTGCCATTGTGCTGTTGTTTGTGTTTGTCATCCCTACCTGTCGTTGAATTGTGTTTATTTTTTTCATCTTTTCCTGTCGTTGTGCTCTTGTTTGTGTCTATCATATTTTCCTGTCGTTATACCGCTGTTTTCTTTTTATCTTTTCCTGTAGTTGTGTTGTTTGTGTAAAGCACGTTTTCCTGTCGTTGTACATCAGTGCCGACAGGGACAGCTTTGTGTGATAAACATCATGATTTAATTCCCCATTTTCCTTTTTTCTAGTTTTAGACTTTCCTATTGCACCAACCTGTGGTGTTAACGAAACGTAGGAATTTTACATTTAATAGCATATTCTCAATATCACGATTTCCTTGCAGGAATGGCAGATTAACCATTAAACATGGTTTTGAGAAATGGATGTTGATAAAAAAATCAGTTCTGTAGTCGTCATAATGATCTTGTTGGGAAAGCTTTTATTTCTGTGTTTGATACGAAGTTGGGCCTGATTAATGCTTGCTATTGAGCCTAGTAATTCAATTCTCATTCTCATTGTTGTCATAGGGGGAAGTGATATATTTGAATTAAATTGAATGTTGTACTTGGCAGATGTAGTCAAACATCTACAGGAAAACGTGGTTTTGTTTTCTAGTTTTTCAGCGTTCTTTTTGGAAATACTTCTGTCATTATTTTGCCTTCGTCTCATAGATTAGATTTTAAATTAAGATTCTGATGGTAGGTAATTTCTTTCATTATTGCCTTCTATGTTTTCTTCGTTCTCCATTAGTTTGCCTCCCCTTTGTCTGTTGGTCTAATATTTCTCAATTAGTTTGACGTGTCTGTTTTTATCCTGTATCCAATTTTCACACCTCTGTTTGGTGGTTTGATTATAGTAATATGTTCTTGTCGTTCTACATCAGCCTGGTCCCTCTGTTCTAGTCGTTCTACATCAGCCTGGTCCCTCTGTTCTAGTCGCTCTACATCAGCCTGGTCCCTCTGTTCTTGTCGTTTTACATCAGCCTGGTCCCTCTGTTCTTGTCGTTTTACATCAGCCTGGTCCCTCTGTTCTTGTCGTTCTACATCAGCCTGGTCCCTCTGTTCTTGTCGTTCTACATCAGCCTGGTTCCTCTGTTCTGGTCGTTCTACATCAGCCTGGTCCCTCTGTTCTTGTCGTTCTACATCAGCCTGGTCACTCTGTTCTTGTCGTTCTACATCAGCCTGGTCCCTCTGTTTTGGTCGCTCTACATCAGCCTGGTCCTTCTCTTCTGGTCGTTCTACATCAGCCTGGTCCCTCTGTTCTTGTCGTTCTACATAGGTTTGTTCCCTCGGTTCTGGTCATTCTACATAAGTTTGTTCCCTCGGTTCTGGTCATTCTACATAAGTTTGGTCCCTCTGTTCTGGGTGTTCTACATTAGTTTTTTCCCCTCTGTTCTGATTATTCTCCATTTCCCCATTCGTTTTCCCTGTCGTTCTCCATTCTTTGGCCTTGACCATAATTGCCTCATGTATTTCGGAACTTATACTTACCACCGCTCTGAATTTAATGTATATGCTTACTAACTCCGGTGATTCCTACTTTTTGTTACCAAGCAGACAGCGGGCACTCCACACTTCGTGATCACAACGACATCGACTCTGAGTCAGAAATTCTTCCGGAACACGATACCCGACATAACCACATCCGTAAAACTAGACTCAATCGCAGAGCCTTCATTGATGTCGATGATGAGGTAAAATTTCATATAGTGCATTACATCGCGGTGACATAGGATTTGAATCATAACTCGCAACGTTTGAATAATCATTTTGTCTACTCACACCTAATACACTGTTTCAAACTCTAAAATGATGCAAGAAAATATAATGCATGTTCGGAAATTATATTCGTTTTACGCCATAGTATTGTGGACTTCACTTCGAAAGAATCTTCTAAAATCCGCATTGAATAAGAAATCGGATTACTACCCCATCAATGAAACCGTGTTGCAGACACGTATCCCAGTATCCATCATCATTTCGAAAGTAAATTGGTCGATCTTTTAGTTTAGTGACTTAAGTTTATAACTGTCATACTGTTTGTCTTTTTTTAGGACCCAGACTCACATGACGAAGACTCAGAAGGTGAAAGTCGCTTTGAGCGTGACCCAAGGGTCTATAAATATAAAGACACGTCTCGTCTTCCAGTAACGTCGAACAAACGTGGAAGTGCCAGATCACGAAGTCGTGATAACCAAGCCGGAAGAGATTCGGGTGGTTCCGGTGGTCGCCGCTCTATCAGGAAACAACAAAAAACTAAAAACGAGGTAAATCACTATGAGCCATCTCAGGATCTTCTGAATACGTTTAGATTCAACAATAGCAACACATATGTAAACACAATAGTCTATTATACGTTAAGGTATATAGTTAATATGATCTTGAGGTTCTTTCTTTCGAAATTATCATATGTGAGAAAAATCATTATTGTATGAAATGCAGCTTGATTCCTTTTTGTCACTGCTGTATATGGTTTTAAATTTATATTGAATGATGCTATTCACTTGTGTATCTTTTTATGACCTTTGTAAAATCAATACTTGAATCGTTTCCGACTGGTAGCTTTGGATGTGTTTATATAGAAGTATTTGTATATCATTAGGGGAACAAGGTGATGACGCGCGATATCCAATTCTCCTGATTATGTGTACATAGAAAGTAGGGAAATGTCTTAAGTGTATATCAGAAATTCTCTTCTGCATATACTCAAGCTATTCCAATTCTTTTGTCCTTATTTGAATCGAAACTTACCACTTGGATTGTCACCATCACCTGGAAATTTGAATTCTAGGTCATGCAGCCGATAAGTCGAGAACCTGAGAGAATGTATAAAATAGTGCTGGCTGGTGATGCAGCTACTGGGAAGTCCAGTTTTATCATGAGACTATGTAAAGGAAAATTTGTCTCCAACCTCAGTTCAACACTAGGTAAGTCTGTTTTAGTTTAAAGATCTATTACTGCTTTCATTGTCAATTTTCGTCTGCACCATAATAATCTTAGACTCATCTTTCACTTCTGCTTTTCATTCACTGTTTAAGAATATTTATATCTGGATCGATACGCCTTGTGCACAATATGTGTCGTCCTATTACACATAAAGGATGTAATTTCTAAATAAGTTTCATTTTTTATCTACCATTGTGTCAGCTGAATGTTACAGGACAAAATTTATTCATGGAGTCAGACTTGTAAATCACATCTAGCTTCGTTAATCATGATAACATTTTGTCAGAAGTTCAGTGAAAATTTTATATATTTTTTATATTGTGAAAGTTGCATACAAAGTGGTCGGTTTTCCAGTGATAACTCCTTAGTCAAAATCTTAAAGTCAAGCACACGTCGTTGTGCAGTTGGATGATGTCGTGAACGTGTTCAGGTAACTACAGATAATTTCATGGTCATTACCAATGATGATATCGGCTTAGCCAATCAGACTTTTCCAAAATATGGCATGGTTATAATAATGACATAAAGCAGGATAAGGACCATTACATAAGAATTTTGGGTCGCTACAAGACATCATTAAACGAACAGAAAGTGAACGCACACAAGTATATCATTAATCACTATGTTTTACAGGGGTTGATTTCCAGACGAAAGTGATGGAAGTAGACGGTCGTACCATAGCACTACAGCTCTGGGACACCGCAGGACAAGAGAGGTGAGGACGAGTGTTCCTGTTAGTTCTAAATATATAACCAACAGATATGTTTAAAAAAGTCTTCTGATATTCAAAAGAAAAAGTATTCAGCAGGATGCTTTTCATTGCGACTCAACTGGCCTCCGTGTATATTCAGCGTGGATAAATTGATTGAATGAGATCAAAGTCAATGTATACTGAGGAAACTCTGTAATAGAATGGCTTTTCTTGCGATATTTTGTTTGTAAGTGTCATGGTCGTGAGTGTGTCGGGAAGGCCTTTATCCGTGTTACTGATAGAATAACTGAAGTAACTCTAGCAAATGCATCGATTTTTATGTACATTTATATTAGGCCAGTGTGATTGTACACAACTCCGGAAGAAGGAAATATTTTCCCTTGATCCCGAAATCATCCTCTTAACTATCATATGCAATCAAATGCCGTCTGAAAGGAAATTTATATCAAATGCCTAAGATGTAGCACTCATTTCTTATCCTTAAATGACAGAAATGCATAAGCATAGGTTGTTTACACTAACCCGACAAATATACACACCAAGCACACGTACGATGTTTATAAGCATACACATGTAATCTTGCTGCCAGAAGTACTTATGTGTAGTTTTAATCAACCAATCGTAAACAAATCGTAAAAAGCAACAACTGTGTTTACTGTCATGAATCGTTTTGTTTTCAGTATATTGAAACTAATGTTACTGATTACTGAAATATAAAGTACATCTGTCAAAAAGGTGTATTCGATTTGAAAACACTTCAACTGTGCCATTCACATTACAAAAAAAAAATTTGAAAATTAATGTATCATTTATCTTTAACCGAAGGTTTCGCAGTATTGCCAAATCCTACTTCCGAAGAGCGGATGGTGTGTTCCTATTGTACGACTGTACATACGAGAGATCCTTCCTTAACATTAGAGAATGGCAAGAATCCATAGGAGTGAGTTTAAATATACCATTCACGCTGTCCGATTTATATGATAAAAAGATAATTGTTAGTAGAAGGGCGATATGATTATATCTCGAACTATTTGATAACTGAGGATAAGGATAAGAAATTATGCCATGTAATAAACTGATCAGCTAATTAATCAATTAAGTATATTTTGTATGCATGTATAAAAAGTATTTTAAAAATGAAAAGTGAAAAGTAAGTACACCAAATCTTTATAGGGCAGTTTTTAAGTGGATTTTTTTCTGTTAAATTGGAATCTGTTTAACATACTATTTGTAAGCAAAGGTTAGCGAATCTTACATTTGTTTTGTTTTTGCTTTTACAGGAGAGTGCTCAGAAGAATATACCAGTTATGTTGTGTGCAAATAAAACTGATTTAAGAGATACAAATGAGAAACAGGGACGGAAGGTTGTGCACTTCGAGGATGGTCAGAGACTAGCAAGGGTCAGTATGGAAAGTGTTTTACATCGAATATTTATCCAGATGTACACCACATGCATATAGTCTACCGTATCCATTCATGAAAAACTAAACATTTATCCTTAATATAAAATCAAAATATCCTTCACAATTGTTGTGGCGACGAGAAAATGTTTTATAAGGCTGGATTGATTTTTTCACTTCTGTTTAGGTAATCGAACCCCTGAGCGGTTACGTGGAAGGATATGTGGTACACTGCGCTACTCAACCATCAAATCTATTTGTGTAGCTCATACAATTTTAAATATGTTTTCTGTTTTTAGGAGTGCGACAGTCTTTTTATAGAAACCAGTGCCAAGGATGGATCTAACGTGATAGAAGCCGTCATAGAGTTAACAAGGTATGAAACATCGATTAAAACTGAATTACAATATTGCTCTCATTTCAGAACATAATATTACTTAATTACTCATCGATGAAGCAGTAGACTTTCAGCATTCCTGAACACCTGAACTTATTATCTCTGTATGATTTCAATGGTTTTGATGTAATCATTTCTTTAGTTCACATTTCCCCTTGGTTCAGATTAACTTTTCTTTTACAAAGGTTAATGAGGGCGAACGAGGATTTGGAAGTGAAAACAGTCGGGCTGCAACTAGCTGAAGGAAAAAATGAGACCAAGAGCTCGTGCTGTTGACATGTGCAATAATTCACATTCATATGATATTGGACGAATGTTTCAGATAACTTATTCGTTGTTTATTAGTGGATGTACTTCCTTAACAGAAGAATTATTAAGCACGCGAGTCGGATACCCAGACATTCATGATGGCATTGTATTCATGTATTCAGGCGAAGCTGATTCATTAGCACGTTTATCAGCAAGACTTACAAGGAATTGGTTAAGAAACAAGACTATATTTTTTTCCTATGTGTTATCATTTTCAGTCTTCCTTTTTAAAATCAATTAAGGAAACGAGCTGCAATTTGACTGCGTGTGTAAACCTGTGTCGACCAAGTGTACAGAAATTGGTTCCTTTTACTTGCCATGGTGTACGGGTTGTCTCTTTACATTAAATCTATATGAAAGGAACTTTATATCACTATCTACTTTAATTGCATAAATGTGGCTCTCTACAAGAGATATTACAAGGCTCGATATTGCTCTTTCGAGAATAGATATTCATCAGTACCACTAACAAAACATGACATACATTCTGCATCATTTCAGATTTGCCAAGGGTTTATTACTATGGTGCTATAGTCATAGTCAAGAAAATGCAAATACATTTTCATTTTCTGAGATGTTTGTGGCGTAAAGATACAACATATCATACGTAATAACACAGTAATTTGTTTGTATTTGCATTTCTGTATTACAACATTCCTGCATCCCCAACATATGGTGTTTGCATGTTAAAGGTTGTTAGATATTCAAGGGGTTGTTCCAAATATTGTTCTCAAATGTGATTTTCGTGCCAGATGCCAGAAACTGAGAGACAAACTCATAAAACAGGGTTTCGAGAGATGCAGATAATAACAATTACAGGGATTTGTTTCGCTGAGTATATCGTCCTGTGAACAGTGGGGTCATTTTCAGGTAGGGTCTCCTTGTAGTAGCTGGTGACGACATACTTAAATACTGTAGACTCGGCATACGCAATTTACAGCAATTAGAGAAAAAATGTTTTCCTTAGATTGTCGGGTAGTTCTACTTTTTTCTAAATGAGCGCGTTTATAGTGAAATTACTTGCATGGATTTACACAGAATTACATTGCGAATGTCGTCGATGAAGTGAAAACCTTCCCACAACACTTTATCTCATTCTTCTTATACATTTTTCTTTGTAATTGTTTTTCTTTTGATAATATTTTTCCTTGTGTCATCGAATTTGAGTTGAATTGAAATTCTGTTGAAATGTCAGTGTTTTCTTTGTTGGTTTGTATGACATGCTCACTGTTATTCGGAATTTTGTATTTCAATTCCAATTTTTCAACGTTTTTGAAAAATTTTGTTTTTACCATGGAAAACCGGAGAAATTAGCATAACCAACATGACATGAAATATCTATTGTTTCGGTTTTCGGTAGCATTATCAGCTTAAGTATCATAAAATCTCGATCATCACGCAACAGAAAACTACACGAACGGACATAGCCTTTTGAATAATAACTTCATATCAGTAAAGTTTTTTGTACCAAAAACCATGGTGCGACCACGGTACATTTTACGTATTCTATTGTTTTTAGAGTCTTAAATTTGAATTTCAAAGAATCTCGTTTGCTCTCGTATTAGTTTTTGCCAATTAGGAGCACCGGTGCGCTCATATATGAATATTGATGCTTCAATTATTATAACTAATTTATATCGAATGCATATTTGTGTCTAGTCATTTTTGCACATTCCAAACATATTTCATAAACAATAGAAATGAAAAACGTGGCAATATCATTATTCTGTTTTTTATTATATGGAAGCATATTTCTTACATGTGGTTATTTCGTGTCTCATTAGTTAATCATTTTCTGTTTAGTCGAAATCCATTACAACGTAATATCACATTGTTAATTAATTCAATTCATTTTAACGTAACATGTTCTTTTAGAAAATAGTTGATACCTTAACACATTCAATTATCTATTTCTCGTTCAGATACTCATTGATTGAGACTGTAAATCAGAGTAATTATGATTCATTAGACAACTATTTAAAACGAATGATGACATATAGGAATATGGATTCGGCTACATGTAATTTTGATTCCCCTAGCTATGAACCAATTCATGTTAAGCGTTGACCTGTAACTGTCTTCTACGACACCGCCATTCCAATGGCTAGCAACACTTTGAACCTGTAGTGTAAAACTAAATAAACAAAATATCAGGACAATGAGCACACCCGAATTGTCAGGAGGTGGAATTCTAATGTAGATTTATATACCTTTCATAAAAAAAATCGATGTTTTATGTCATTACAACATGAATATAGATTTTTGTAATTTGTATTAAGTACCGTTAGACTGAGTTATTTATATTTTTCTTACTTGTGTGTAAAACTGAAAGTTATATAGATAACATGTTGCTACAGTTTACTTAACAATGTAGGCTCATCATCGGCTGTTCTTTTGTACATGTACCTGCTAATTATAGAGATGTAAGTTTATGTTATTTATAATGTACAGTTTTCGTCCATGTTCAAAGTTTGTTATAATTTGTAAATAAGTAGTGTAATCAATACAAGCGAAGGAGTTGATGGAGAACTGAAAGCGGAGAGTGTGTAAAGAATGACAATAAACGGAAAGTTTAATTTACGTCCTTAAAATTATTTTAGACTTGTACATAACCACGATGCTTTACAACAACATTTTCTTTCATTGTGCTTCAGATGAATCAAGCTTCCTCTAACATTTACCATTTTGAAATGGATATGCACTACCTATCGTTCTCATATCATACATGCATATTTTCATGTCAGGTTCATTTGTATTTAATAAGAAAGTGCTTCCTAATGTGGTTTGGTCTTGCATACTCTGTGTGCAATTCATCATCATGCAATGGTGCAATGTACTTCTTCCTGTATTTTCTTTGTTGATATATGTCAATTGGAAGGCTCGTGATCACTAAAACGAATGTTACATATCTGTCATCTGTCTCATAAGCATACGTCGATGAATAAATTCTATATCATCTTGCACTATTCATATATGCTCTACGACAACCTAACAGATAATCAGCGGAATAAAATTGAATTTATCTGCAGTTTATTGATATCTTATTGATTGATTTTGAAGTAAACATGCGTGTATGACCTCATTATCACACACAAAATACGCAATATAAAAAGATAATTCAAAATGGAATGAAAATAAGAGCTGTCAATGTCGAGAAGTTCCTGGATTTTTTAAAAAAAATTTTCAAAATAGCAATATCTATCAAATCTAGAATAAAAAAAAAGTTGTCAAAAGTGTAATGATTTTAAAAATATTTCCCACTTTCACGATTTTCAATATTGAATTATTTCGAGAGAAATTATGACTGAGAAAAAAACGATCGAAATAAATGTAAACCTCCAAATGTTGTGGTACGCCAGCCCAAAATTTTAATAAAAAAAATCATGAGTGATTTTCCAAATAACGTCAAGTACATGCGCATATTCTGAACTGTGCCATTATTCGAATGAATTAAAACATGATATCCAGGTTACGGCAAACCTATGGAGACGGAAAGTCCATCAACAGTGTTTCATAAAATAAATCAAATAAATAGACACTTTATTAATTGATAAGCTTCTCTTTATTTCTTTCGGTTATCATTCCATATATTGAATTTGTATATAATGACCGCAATGACTTGGATTCATAGCGTTGTTTTTATTTCACTGAATTTCTATTTCACATGTCGAAATATGTTTTTAGATCTTAATTGTGTTCTCTATTTGAGTACTCCTGAATACAGCTTTAGTTAATTGACATCCAGAGTAATCTCCCTTTATACACTTTACGAAGGCTGGACCAGTGTATTAAGTGTTTTACCTTTCTACAACCACTAAGTTATGCACGTTGTGGTGTCTTCTGTGTTTCGGAAAAAACGGATTAATAAATTAATTCCTATATCTTTGGTTTTTTCTTTTTCTTTTTAACTTAAATCTACTTCAATATGAAAAGCACATCGAATTAGAAAAGAAAAAGAACAAAATAAGAAATTGAATCTGATTCATGCAAAAGGCTAATGTGTGTAGCGATGATATAACCGAAAGACGCAACGTTAGAGTTTTCTATACTAGCCCTGTTTAGATAAACAACGGTAGCATTATGAGAGGGTATATTAAAGTGTGTGTTAACCAGCAGTGGTCGTAAGGTTCAGCGAAGATCTTAACAATTCTGTAACGTGACTTTATGACTCGCATGGCGCATGAAAGGAAAAGCCAGAATTAATGTTCCTTAAATAACAAATGAACAAATAAACAAAACACTGGAAAATTGGAAGTAACCATCCTTGGATAATACGTTCAACAAAAATAATCACAATTAAATTGTGTAAAAAAAATCAATTATTTATAAACGGATAAAATAATTCTAATCAGATATTGGATTAATATATATATCATTTCATAAAGTAAATATGGAAATCCCAATCGCATAAATACACGAAACGTAATAACAGTTATACGGAAGAATTACAGAAAGATAGCATATACAAATATGTGACATACACAAAAGTTATTTCAAATGAAGTATCTTGATATACAAAATAAAAAGCTGTCATAAAAAAATTCTGATTATTGTATAGCATTTATAAGTGAAAGTCTGAAACTGATAAAAAAATTAACAAGAGTATGGAATACATCAATTTTTTTTGACACATAATATACATACAATATTTACAAACAGTTCATATACAATTTTTTTTAATTCAAATAATATCATAATTGAAATATTAGTTTTAATAAAATATTTACAATTACAATATGAAATATGAAAGTTAATCAATGATTATCAAAATAAATAATATAGAAATAATTACAGAAGTTATACACAAAAGATATCACAATAAGATAATGTTCAAAAATTATAAGATCTGCAAAATAGACAAATTTTGTTATCTAGAACATATATATATATACTCAGATATTTATAACATTCAGAAAATATACATGTAAATATTCGTGATGAAACAATTTATAAAAATAAAAAAGTAA